CCACCCACCAACCACCACCCACCGCCCACCTACCACCCACCGCCCACCGCACCCCCAGCATCGTCAAGTTGTGGAAGGACGGACGGGTGAGTGGGTGAGTGAGTGAGTGGGTGGGACCCCCGGTGCCATCATTCGCATCCCACCTTCCCGCCACTTCAGGGCAGCCCCACCACGAAGCCAACATTCAGAGAGAGAGAGAGAGGCACACGGAGGGAAACACCGCTCACCGCGCCGCGCAAGTGGCCGCCGCCCTCAGCGCCCCCTCCGTGAACCGCACCCCGTGGTGCTGCTGGTAGCGGGGGGCCAGACCCCGCAGCCAGGACACCACCTCGGCCTCCCCGGGCTCCTCCACAAGCACACTCTGCGGGGCAGGGAGGGAGCGAGAGAAGGGGGGGGGGAGGGGAGGGCATCAAGCGTACGTGTTGAAACCTTGGATGCGTAAAAATAGTCAAGCAGTCTAAGGGGGTCTAAGAAGCCAACTGTACGGCGGCGGCATGCCGTATCACCTGGAAGCGGCGTGCGAATGCGGGGTCCGACTCCACGTGTTTGCGGTACTCGTCCAGGGTGGTGGCGCCAATGCAGCGAAGCGACCCACGGGCCAGTGCGGGCTTGAGGATGTTGGCGGCGTCCAGACCGCCCTCCGCACTTCCGGCACCCACTGAACGAACATACATACATACATACATACATACATACATACATACATACATACATACATACATACATACATACATACATACATACATACATACATACATACATACATGTATGGGTGTATAATGACGACCTGATCGTTAGACTGCAACCTGATTGCTACCATGGACATCGGCCGCACACGGCCGCAGTTGCCAAACTAATTGCCAACCTATTCATCTCAGAAATGGTAGGATAGAAATGGCGAACGGAATGGCTCAGAGGAAACGGCCGCGGACTACCGCGCCGAGGACGCTTGGAAATGGCGGCACGAGAAAACCGACAGAGCTTCCAAACGCTGGCAGAGCAAACGCAGCTCCAAAGCGGATTAACGCCTTTAACGTAGTAACGCTGGACGGCCACAAATACAGCTCGGTGCTGGAGTTGGAAACCATTGACCTCGTCGTCCATTGGCCAGCGAGGTCCGACCGGAATGACTTAATGGCTCAGATATATGGACCATTAGGAACAGCTATTCGGTCGACGCTGGGGCAGCATTTCAGCTCTACCGAGTTCACATGGTGGGGCGGCCCACGCATTGAGAAGCGGCTCTTATACGCAGCTGGGGCTGAGAACAACATCGCGATGGAATTTTCCATAATGGTGCCAAAAGGTGGATTAGCGCATTTGTTCGAAGCCTACGGTGAACGCATTCGCGTTAGTGGGGTGCAACTATGCCCCAACGAGGACCCCATCGAGGTGGAGCTGCAGATCAAAAATTGGCATAAAGTCTTGCCGGTACAGTGGGAGATTAAGGGAGTCCCCACCAAACTCAGCGTCCACGGGGTCGCTGAGTTCCTCGCCAGGGCATACAGCACCAGCCATCAGCCCCGCACAGCGACGGAATTTATCTACCTGATCCCCACGGCCATGGCCGACACCTGGCAGCTCACCCTGCCCCGGGATCACCGGGGCTTGCCATGTGAGATGCCTTATGAGTACTACGGGTGGTTGGGCGAGCAGCACCAGGTCGGCTGTTTAAAGGCCGCCAAGCTGTCACCCAACCTCGAGGTGAACCCCTACCTTATGCCCCGCTGTCCACCACCCCGGGAGGAGCTTCGCAAGCAGCAGCGGAGGCAACGAGAGGCGGCGGGGCACCACACCCAGCAAACCCGCCCAGCAGACCCTTCACCGCCAATGCCACCCATGGCAGCATTCAGCGGCCCCACCCGCCCGGCAACCTACCCTGGCCCCCCGGGACAGACCGTGGAGCCGCAGGTGTCAGGGTTACAGGCGGCGGCAACTGAGGGAAATGCAGCGGAGATGGTTTACCCCCCGGGCCCCCCCCCCACCTCCAATGCCAATGCCACTTCGGGCCCCAAGGGAACACAGCGGCGGCAGAGGAACCGGAGGCAGCGGTAATATTGACAACCCCTCGAGCAGTGGGGGACCGCGAAGCAGTACCCCTGCTTGCATCACCGTCCTGAACAACGGGAGCGTCCAAGGCGACAGCTGCAGGGGTACGGAGCCCACTGGCAGCAGGGCCGAGGCCTACAATGGTGGACCAGCTTTGCCAACTGGACCCGGTAGCAGCAGAGTCAGGTAGGGGTTTACCTCGAGGTTGGGTGACAGCTTGGCGGCCTTTAAACAGCCGACCTGGTGCTGCTCGCCCAACCACCCGACCACCCGTAGTACTCATACGGCATCTCACATGGCAAGCCCCGGTGATCACGGGGCAGGGTGAGCTGCCAGGTGTCGGCCATGGCCGTGGGGATCAGGTAGAGAAATTCCGTCGCTGTGCGAGGCTGATGGCTGGTGCTGTAGGCCCTGGCGAGGAACTCAGCGACCCCGTGGACGCTGAGTTCACAGAAATTGCTGGCGTCGCCACAGTAACGTAGACCAAGCGCCCGAGTGCCAGAGACGTAACGCAGCACACCCAGAGCGAGCCCCATGTGCGCTTTGGTGGGGGCGGACATGTGCCGCGCCAGCATGCTCAGAGCGTGTGCGATGTCTGGGCGTGTGCTGGTAGCGAGGTAGTTTAGTTCTCCCACCAGCGCGCGGTAGCCACTGCTGTCCGTCAATATCGGCTGGGTGTCACTGGCTGGCAGAACCCGTGTACCCTGGGGTAGCGGGGTGGCACGTGGCTTGGCGTTCTCCAGGCTGTGGCGCTGAAGCAGCTGCTCCACGTAACACTGCTGCGTGAGCATGATGCTGCGGTTGCG